AAATGACAAAGTGCTGGCTGTACAGAGAGCTGCCTGAGTACCACGCATAGGGGCAGCTGCCCAGGACTCCCCAGATGCATTTGCTGTCATCTGTATGCTGGGCTCTTAAGATGGGCTTGGACAAGCTTCCTACATGCCGCCTGCTTGGGGCTCCCTCGGCTGCATCCCTGGGGCAGCTGGAGGGTGTCCTCTGGGGTGTCATTTACAGTGCCCTGGTGCATGCCTCCCACACCTCTTGCCAGTGTGAAATCTAAGCCTGTAGCACCGCAGACTGCAGGTGTTGTCACCGCCTGTAGTCCTGTGGCGAGCCAGGACTGGGGTTCAGGAGAGGACGAAGTGGATTCCTGCCCCCACTGTTGGAAACCTGGCCGCCCTCACCCAGTGCTTTATGTGTGAGCAGTAAATCTGCTTAGGTCGGAACTGGGTCAGAAAGCCGGGGAGGTGCTGTGAGGACATCTGAAGAGGAGGGTTTTGAGGGGGTTCATGGCAGTGTGTCCTTTAATCATTTTTATAACTTCAGCATTCATTGTGTATTCTGATCAGCTCTGTACATCTTTCTCGGATTAGTCTGTGCTCATATTCAGAGTACTTTTAGGTTTCCTTGGGCCTGTTTCTCTATTCTTACCAATAACAGATGTGCAATCAACATTTGTCTGATTAACTAAATAATTACTTAGGGACAGGAAGCAGAGAGAACCGTGAAAAAGTCTGTCTCATATTTACACTTTCACCATTTTTTAACTGATGACAACCAGGAGAGGAAGTAGGATCAGTAAGCTTGGAAGGAAGATTAGATAACCTGAAATGAATGAAAGCAGGGTGATGGTAGCACCTGCCTCATGAGGAGAAATACAGAGGCAGCACCAGGGTTTCAGTGCGGTCCCCTCCACGGGCGCTGGGTCCTGAGATCCCATTACGTGGACACCGTGAGTTTGCAGAGTGGCTGTGGAAGGACTGGAGATCCGAGTGTGGGGCCCTCTCTGAACACTTGAGGGAGAAAGGGAAGGCAGGACAGACAGACGAGGAGGAAGGGCAGTGGGGAATTAGAACTGGCCAGGGGAGCCTGGAGGAAAGGTGAGGGACGGAGACGCCGACAGCTTGAAGTGTGGAGGAAGGGAGTGTGGGGGAGAGGGCCAGTGGCTCCCTCCTCGCAGCAAGCTGGGAAGTCAGACTGGAGAGAGGGAAAGGGGGAAGCCAGTCTTGAAAAAAGTGGAGAATTTGAGATAAGCCCTGTGTGCAATGGGCTGCACTGACTGACTTTGCAGCCCGGAGGAGGGGGAGAAGGGAGCCTGCTGGCAGGTCAGGATTTGCCACCTGCTGGGGTGCAGGGCCCAGGTGGGGGCCGGGAGGGAAAGGAGGCTCGGAGGGCTGATGGGCAGGACTCTCATCATGAGTTAAAGCACAGGACCGGACAAGGCGAGCACATGGCCAAGAAAGCTTCAAGTATAGAGGGCAGCGCTCTGGTCATGCTTTCAATCATCCAGCACCTCACAGAGCGAGTCCTCCTCCGCTCTGTCTGGGCGACTCTTCCCATCCTCCTCCTGCCCAGCCTCGGGACTCAGCCTTTGTCCTTTACCAGCCCAGACTCTGTTTTCCATCTCTGAATCTCAGGACCTCCTAAACATTATCACGAGTGCTGACACGAGGAGCTCAGTGAGCTTATTTTTGCTATTGTTTATCTGTGTGTAGTTTCACAATGCCTAAGTGTGACACTGACTTTCGGAGCACTGCAGTATACAACAGTGGAAACGCATGAGAAAGCACACCCAACGCGCTTGGCTCGTGCATCATATGTCATTTCATTTTAAATGGGCTTTAACTCCTGAGGTGAAGCTTATAATGCACAGCAAGGCTTGATAATGAGGAGAAATATGGCTTGAGCAACATGGTATAACCTGAAAAAGCCAGTGGATGACATACGCCAGCTGCCCGAGTTCAAGCTCGGTTGGTGGAACCAGGCCACTGCAGCCACCCTGGATCCACAGCTCCCTGCTGGACTGGAGCAGGGCGCAGTGGCCTCCAGCAGTCCGTGCATGCTGCTAACCTCTCCCCTCAAGAATGGGTCGTGGTTCCATGCTGCCATAAGTAGTGTTGCCATGCCAACGACAGCCATGTTTCTTTGTCCTTCCTCTGCCCTTCATGTATCTCCAAGACACTCCCAGACAGGCTAAAACATGAAACAGAACCCTGGGGCCTGAGAGGGGGAGCTTTTATAGCGTGTAATGAAAACACACAAGGTAAGCTCAGGTGGAGCTTGTAAATTGGTTTCTAAGTACCTCAATGCTCGAAAATGTAGCCTGAATCAAATTTGCAGGCATAATGTCTGCTAATTAACTAGTAATTAAAAACAGTCTAATCTTTTTGGAGCGAGTGACTCTATCTTCTGGAAAGAATGTCAGTTTTTTTCAGAATATCAGTTTAAATTTTAGTGAAATGAAAGTTCTCTAGCCCCTATGTTACCATGGTAGCACTGCAGTTCCCTTGGTAACCACAGCACCAGTGGTACCATCTGAAGTGGGGATCCTCAAACTCTTCCCCAGGCACAGAGTTTATGCTTGCTTTGGGCATTAGTTTCCACAGGAATAAGAGCCATGCTTTCCTTTCTCCTCTGGTCCTGCAGAGGTGAGTGGACAGCTCCCTCCTCCCACTCGGCAGCGCCTGGCCAGGTCCTTTGGAAGTGGACATGAAGGGGACAGTGCACAGGAAGGGCTGTCTTCCCCTCATGTACCACATGGAGGACCACAGGCAGGGGCAGGTTCGGCGAAGGAAGCTCTTCTCCAGAGATGAGTGGCTTTTCTTCAAAAACAACGAAGGGTTTAAAAAGCTTCAGGCCCGCACGGTGCCTCCTGCGGCATCTTCCCGGTTCCTGAGGGTTGTTCTTCACTTCCCTGTTCTGGTCTCTTAATGAGCTTTCTTGTTACTTTTCAACACAAGAAAAGATCAAGTCTTTAGTATCCAGGAAGATTTTAATTTTGAAAATTTTAGTCTGCAAAGTTAAAATAAGCAAACACCAGTGAACTGCATCTCTGCTTTTGAAAAGGATGCGTTTACAGACTCAGCTGAGAGACCCAAGGTGACGGAGAGAGATAGATGGCTTTCCGCTCAGCATGAAGCTCATGTTTGGATTGCTGGTGGCAGTGATCTGCGCACTATTTCCTCACTGGCCTGTGGCCTTACAGCCCTCTCCCTATTTATTTATCCTGTTACTGTTCCGTTGTGATGGTGGTGTTTAGCTATAATTATTACTGTAACTGTTCCTATAACCATCACTGTAGACATGAGCTGCACGGGAACTGTTTCTTCCTAAGTGCTTTAATGCTATGGCAGCATGCCCGATGTAAATATTTCACTGTTTGAAACATAATTTAGTATTTTTTGGAAATTCACATTGTTTACAGTAAGATAGTTCCATAAAGATTTGACTGCTTATTGCCTACAAATTAAGAAACATTATGCAACTGAAGTTTATCAGACTAGTGTTGTAGATATTTCAAGCATCTGGGGTCAGTTTAAAAGCACTGAGCCTTACCCTACCTTCCATATTTTATTATAAGAGATGAATCAAAGTGATTGAAAGTGGGCATTTATTAAGTAATGGGAAACTTCAAATGTGAGATTATAAAACATTCTTAATCTTAATTACTAGAAAAGGTTAAATGAAACCTATTAATAAAATTATATATACACACATACACTTTCTAGAAAATGCTGAATCACGAATGCTTTATAAAAATATCACGTATAACTCAAGCTAAAAACTATTAAATGAGTTATTTTGTATTTTGTTTCATTAATAAGAACTTAATAATGGATAAAACTCAAAAAGAAAGAAAGCCCAGGTGAAGATGATCTGTAATAAGATCCCAGTGTCCTGACTCTGCTTGCAGGTGGCCCTGACTCTGGCTTGCAGGTGGCCCTGACTCTGCTTGCAGGTGGCCCTGACTCTGGCTTGCAGGTGGCCCTGACTCTGCTTGCAGGTGGCCCTGAGTCTGGCTTGCAGGTGGCCCTGAGTCTGCTTGCAGGTGGCCCTGACTCTGCTTGCAGGTGGCCCTGAGTCTGGCTTGCAGGTGGCCCTGAGTCTGCTTGCAGGTGGCCCTGAGTCTGCTTGCAGGTGGCCCTGACTCTGGCTTGCAGGTGTCCCTGAGTCTGGCTTGCAGGTAGCCCTGAGTCTACTTGCAGGTGGCCCTTCTCCCTTTATCGTTGAGTTCCAAAGCCTTGCTCACCTGCTTGTGCGTTTGCTTGTGTGTCATCTGGATGGTTTGAGTTTGGCGCACTGCACCAAGTGCGGTTGCATTTCCTTTCTAGGTAGTTAAACTGGGCCCTAAACTCTTCTACTTTCCAAATCTAATTATTTGAGAGCTGTTATTTTTTTTTAGGAAAAATTCTAGGAGCTCTTGAATCCAAAAGCAATGGAGAACAGCAGTACTACTCTCAGTGTTTAAATGTCGTATTATATTTCTATGTTCAAATTTTCCTTCATATCTTTCTTTAAAAAATGTTTTGGCATTGTCATTTAAACTCTACAATGGCTGGAGAGTGCTTGGGTGATGAAACACCCGATATGTGTGAGGCCCTAGGTTCAATCGAAAGTGTTTCAAAAGATGAATAAATAAATAAAAATTTCCTAAGTAGGTAAGACAGTGTGAGAAATTTTCAGAGAAGACTGACATAAATTTGTGGTATTATATTACAAGGTGATTTGTTCCTTGAGTTGATATATTGCAAAAGATGAGAGGAAAAACAAAAAAGTAAGAAATCAAGTAAAAGATAAGAAATTACTTAGATACTGCTTTACGGTGTTTTTCCTTCATTTTAAACTGTGTAAGTCACCATAGAGTGTGGCACTGGCTGTGTCTCTGACTTTTCAGTCAGTGTGTAATTCACATCTGTGTGGAGCAGGTGAATCCATGCTTAGCTGCGCTCGGAGCCTGTTAGGTGCTCACGGTGTTGATCTACTCATTTATATATTGCAATCTATGTTTTTTTTTTTTTTTTTGCAGTTTTGCTAAAGGGAGGAAAAAGAGAGGAAGAGAAACCATTTAGAGACTGTGCAGATGTATATCAAGCTGGTTTTAATAAAAGTGGAATCTACACTATTTATATTAATAATATGCCAGAACCCAAAAAGGTAAACCCGGAAGTGTTTGTTTATGAGATGTAAAGCAGATGCTCATTGAATGGCTGCATAATCAGACTGGTGTGTGAGCTTGTGAAGGCAGATGTGTGTGCATCTATTCCTGAATGCTCCTCTCCCCACAGTGACTCTGTCTCCTGGGGTCGGGGCTGAAGCCCCTGTTGAGCAGACCCCTCTGGCCCTGGCCCCTTATACTCATCAACTTTTTTTTCATTCTCTGCTATGTGGGCACCTTAGAGCTCTGAGGTGTGTGCCCTGCAAGATAATGTACAGAAGTCACGTCATCCCCAAGTGCATGGGGAGAGCTCAGAGCCATCTTTCAAGTCCTAGGGCCCTGGGGTCACACATCAGTGAGGTGGCAGATGCAGTCATTTACAGAATTACTGCCCAAAGTGGGAAAAACACGCCTCATCGCAGTCACCATGCTTGCAGAAGGGAGTGTGGGAGGTCTCCTCCGTGTGTTGGACAGGACCCTCAGGGAACCTGGCCACACACAGGCACTGGCTTCCTGCTGTCACATGCTGTTACACATCCTACCTGCTCATCCACACCCCCTCCACGTTCTCATGCTCCGCGACTCAAGTGACAGCACTCACCTCTCCATCACTGTCCAGGGCAGCTCTCTATGGTGTGAAGACTGACATTTATACCCTTAGCTACAAAACGCTGTGTCCTGTGGTGGTGCGGACAGCCTGCCTGAAGCACGCTGTGGAAAACTCTGAGATAAGCTATTGGAAATGCTGGGGTCCGAGGCAAGCATCCTGTCCTTCCAGACTTAGAATATAGTGGACACCCCAGCCCAGGCGCCCCTGCTCTCACAGGCAGAGCAGCTTCCATTCCCAATTGGCCCCACTGGATTCCCTGTCCCTGGTGACATCCTCTGAACCCCATGCAAGGCCCCTTGCACTGCTGCCTGAGCTGCTCTGGACCAGCGCTGCAGGACGATGCTGTTTGCCCTGCGTTTCCTGGGACTGAACATGGTCTCTGCACAGAGTGAGCCCTTCCATGAGTGGACAGTGGATGACCTGCTGGTGATGTCCACACTCCTGCATGTTCCACCCGGTGAGTCACTCTGGCTCCTTTAATAGGCCAGAAAGAAACGTGGGAGTTGGTTTTCCAGGTGTCAAAAAACTGCACCAGCTGGGCTCTGGATGTCAGCCAGGCTGCTCAGACACGAATTCCTTCTGCGGCCTCTCCTGATTTCAGTAAGGACCAGTGAGCCTTAGTTTCCCTTTCCTGGGACAAAATCTCCTTCTCAAGAGGCCATCAGTGTTGCCCTACAGCCAGGAAGGGACAGGGTGGATGTGACGGAGGGAGGTGGGGCGCTGCTTTGCCACCTGAGCTACTAGAGAGAAGTTTGGTTCCAGCAGAACCATTTGGGGTTCCAAGCAAGATCTCTTTCCTCACCATGACTTCCGACGAAATGAACAAACAGGAGACCTCACAGATGCCGCGAAGATACAGTGGAGCACCCGGAAGCCAGTAGGCAAAGGGGAACTCGTGGGGACGGAGACTTCCGGAGCTCCCGAAATCACATGCACACTTAAGTCCACACACACACATGTGCGCAAACCCTGAAGCACACCCTACTACAGCACGCCAGCTGTGTGAGAGCTTTCCTCATCACCCTGCAGCCTCAACACTCTGCTGTCCAAGACCTGAAAGAGCTCTCACTGTGGTCAGCGGCAGCATAGCTTAGGACTCGACGGCAGAAGCGAAATAATGAAAAATAATTCGCCACTCCGAATCGTCCTGTGACGCACACCAAATTTTCACAGTTCTGCCCATTTTGCAGTTGTTTACTCTACCCCAGGCACTGGCGGGTCCTCCGTGCTGCTCAGCACCTGAACTGAAGGAGCAGAGGTAGATTTGTCTGTGAGCAAAGCTCGGCTCCCCTGGGAAATACTGCGGGATGTGACGGAGCACAGGAGCACAGGCTGTGTGCAGAAGCGGCCCTTCCTGCTCCTCGCTGGAATCCTTCTCCTATTCACCTGCAGCTTTGGTCCACGGGGCCAACCCTGTTCAGGAGTTCAGCGGCTGGCACCGGCTTGTTTACAGCAAAACAAGACGATGTAAACTTAGACCACTTCACAGCTACAGCTTCTGCGCAAACCGGAGCTTCAGGATTGCTCTTAAATAAATAAAATCTAAAATATTTCACCCACAGTACCTACTGCCTCCTGGAGAAACTGTTCATAAAAGCAGGTTTCTGCGGGAGGGAGTCCCCGCACGACCTGCCCCAGATGGTGCTCAGGCTGAGCTGCACTGGGGAAAAGCTGGGTGTAGCAGGGTGCAGGGCGAAGGGTGCCCGAGCTGAAGGGAGAGATGTGGGGTCTCCTCCGGGCTTTGAGACTCCTTCTGCTTTACCCCGTCCCTCTGTGGTCATAGATTCTCTCACAGGAAGTGACACAGTTTTATTAGTCAGACTGACACACTCTGGTGTTTCTAGTGAAATGTTTTGTTTTGCATCTCTCATTGTAACTAGGCCCTGTTCTGGGTGTGGCGCCTGTGTGTTCCCCCTCTCACTGGCTCTCTGTTCGGCCCCAGGAAAGAGGGGCTCCCCTTGTTCTCACTGCACAGATGTGCACGCCCACGAGCTTGGTCAGGTCCCTGCACACTGGCTTTGAAGCTGAGGTCCGGCTCAGGGCTGCACTGGTCTGTAGGGGCGCTGCTGGCTCTGTCTGACTTCCGTGCTTCGTAAGGAAAGTTGTGCCATGCATAGTCAGCACCTATGGAGTGGGAGACACACGGGGTCAGCAGCAAAAGCAAGACCCTCTAATTAGAAAAGTGGATTCGCGTGCTTAAGATAGTCCACCTCAGGCCATCACCAGACTATGGTGCCCCTTCCTCCTCCCATCTTGACATACGTCACTGACATCCTATCAAAGGCATATAAAAAGTGCATGTATATAAGGAGAGACGTGTGTAAGGCCTTTGCCCTTCCAAATAGACTAGGCATCGTAGCTTTACAAAACAGACCCCTGCCGCCCTGGGGAAAAACAAGCACAACCTTGTCATTCATAACATTTTCAGAAGTTCCAGACAGGAGGGGCTCTGCATACAAACCTCTCGCCACAGACCAAGCGCATGAGGGGCTGATGTGACCAGGCTGGCTGTGTGGGGCGCGGAGGGAAGCTGGCAGCAGAAGTTAAGCCCTGCTCGGCAGGGTAAGAGTTGCGAGTGTGAATGAATTGTTAGACAGTGTTTCCGTGGACATTGTCCCATGCCAGGAAACAAAGTGGTGTTTGTAAAAAATTGAGAAGTATGGTCTTCAAATGTTACGTGGAGGCCGGGGGTGGTTTTCTAGAACGGTTTGATTTTTCAAGCAGATAGAAAATGAGAGTTTGATATTCTCCATCGTCCTGTCTGCTTTCATGGGCTCCATGGCTTGTGGCTATTTTCTTTCTAAATTCCCAGTGATGCATAGTAGTAGGAAACAGGATTATTTTCTTTCATTTCTTAAGTTTCTAAAACCAAATGCCCTGTAGCCAGCTCAGTTTCATCCAAGAAAACAAACCATTAAATCATAACTCTTACTGTAAAATATTAAAAATTGTTTCTGAACTCCTAATTCCCGTAATTCTTGGAAGAGGACTGTAACAAATGTGTTGAGCCTTTTTCATTTGAGGTTATGGAAAAATAATTAACATCCGCAGGGCTAATCATTCCAACTTGTATGGAGCACAAACGCATAAAGCTATGCGAATCAAATTTCCACTTTTTGTTTGGGCTTAAATCTCAGTATTATGTTTGAAGGTGTTTAATGCTTGAGAGCTTTGACCCCGCCTGGGACCAGAGCCAGTTCCATTCTTTTTTGGAGAAAACGAAGCCCGAGTCGTGTGGGTTCAGGCACCAGGCGGAGGAACAGTGCCGGCCCGGCCCTGGAAGCAGACCCCTCCGAAGCCAGCCCTCTCGGCCTGGAGCTTCCTTCCTAAGAGACGGCACTTAGCCTTTCGATCAAATCACAATTGTTTTTGCAGAAGTAAATCCAACTTCTTAAACATTTAGCTAGCTAGAAGTAGGCAGATCAAAGGTTAGTGATGCCAGTGTTGTCAACTAGAATTGTCATCACACTCAGAAGGGAAGTCCATGAACTCCTGCCTGTTATGGTTTTGTATATTTTACATTACTATAATACATTATAAATACTTTTTTCATGGGCACAATTAATAGCCTAAATACATTAAATATAATGCATTAAATACTGGTTCATATTAAAAAATATAAAATACTACATTAGTACAATGCACTGTATTATAAACATATATCAGGCAGTGCATAATATGAACCTGTATTTGCTTCCCTGTGAGGTCTAAGACACAGGTAATGGCAGTGCACACTGGAAGCCCAATACGCTTCTAAAACCTCTGTGCAGTGACTCCTCCAATCCCAGCTAAGACTCACCAGTTAGAGCAGAGGTAGAACTGGATCAGAACAACCTGGCCCTGGAACCTCACCCTTGACTGGTTCCCTCCGGGTCTCTTGTGCCGTGGCCCGTGGATAGCAGCTGTCACCCTTGCCACTGCTGAGTCTTCAGAGAATCAGTCCACAGAGGTCAAAGCCTGCACTGGTCTCTGCCCAGCAACTGCTGCCTCCCAGAGAGGTCCGCTGTCTCTGGTCTTCATCCACAATGCAACCCCTGCCGTGCTTCACTTTCTCAGGTCCTTCTGTGCCTGTTTAAAAGGAAAACTATCCTTCTCAAAACTATTTGATTGTCAAACAAATCACATAGAATTTCAGTAACAGGCCTCAGTCATTAGCACCTATAGAGCGTGGTCTGCTCAGCGCAGTCCACATTTCAGTGTAGTGATTCTGAGTACGAGCAGACTTCACAGTTTAGAAACATAGTTTGGCAAACTTTCCATTAGGAAATAAAAATCTTTGAAAAGGAAGATGGGAAGAGGGGAGGGAGGGGGCTTTGGATTAGCCAGGTAAGGAAGGGTAAAGTTTAGCTGAGGAATTAGCAATGCTGGTTTCCACTAGGAAGGTGTTTTCTTGAGATTTCATACTTTCTTTACTTTGATTTAGATTTCTCTGGGAAATTCAACCTTGGCCTTCTCTCTCGAGTCATCACCAGGGCCTATTTGAACTGTCCCATGACTGTTCTCACAGGAGTCTTGCACTGCCTTTGGCCAAGGTCACCAGTGCCACATCCTTTCAGATGCTGATGTGTACTCTCATCATCCTTACTTACCCCAACTTGGATCGAGCACGTGATTAACTTCCTCACCATCACAGCTCAGCATCCATCCCGGTGTTTTCTACACTGCATGAGTCACATTGTGTTACTAGTAGTGCATCTTTATTTATTAAAGGAGCTGACTTAGCGCTCATGAGAAGCAAAACGTTATTTGAGGCACTTGGAGATAGCAGCATATAATAAAGCCCAGGAGCCACCGCAAAAGGTTGCTGCTGGGTTTGTCCCCGACCCACTCAGCTGCTCCCGCCACTGGACACTTCCTCCTTTGCTCCTTAGATACCGCACCATCTGCCGGGGTGCTGCAGCATCTTCCCAGCAGATTTCCCCAGTAATTCTGAGTTAGGTAAACATAGTTTTCAAATCCTGAACGGTCTAAATCCCGGATCCAGTACTAAGTGTTAAGCATATTCACCTGTAAGTTACGAAAGCACTCTAAACCTCAGTTTTTCCCTTTACAACAGAAATAATAAGCGTGCTTGCTTTAGAAAGTTGTGAGACTAAGTTGGAAAATGCATGTCGTGTTTATCTGGCACGGAGCACGCATTCCACTGGTCCCGAGGGCTCTTTCTTGTCCCCTTACCCTTCTCCACACTTGTGTCCTGGGTCTGCCACTTCCAGGTCAGCTCTGGCTGCCCGACAGGCTCCTCTGGGGGAGCTTTGGGCCACTTCAGGCACTGGGCACCCAGAGAAGGGCACTTCCTTGTCTCCCACTCCCTCTCTTCCTTAGCCTCTCGCAGGCAGCTCTGTCTTAGCTGCTCTTCAGGTCGGTAGCATTGATGGTTGTGAACGCCAGTGTGTCCCTTAACCATGCAACAGTGCCCTGCGTCCTGTGCCTGTTGCCTGCGGGACAGTCATTATTGAAACCTGGAGGTATTCTGAGGACATGGTCCATATTTCGTTCATCATAACATCCTCTGTCGTGAAACAGAATCAGCGCCCAAGAATGCTTGTTGATGAAAAAAATAACTGAGGGAATAAATTAGAGCAAAGCGGCATGAAAGCCAGCGAGGGGTTATGTTGAGGACGAAGACCAGGCAGAAGAGCGAGAAATGGAGAGGGAGGAACGGCAGAGGGAGGACATGGCATCTGTAGTCCGGGGGATGAGGCAGTCCTGAGCGCTGGAGCGGGTGGCTGTGGTCGAGCAGAGGGAAACCCTTGGCCAGCAGGCGTCCTGTTCTGGGCCACAGGCAGGCTCTCTGTGTCCTCTGGCTCGTGGACGTGTCCCACCATGGATCTCCAACCCGTTGGCCACCATAAATTCAATGCCAGCTCTTGGGAGATGTGACATTCGCCTCTATCAGAGCCCAGTGTAGGGCTGTTCCTGCTGGTCAGCTGCGGTGCACCCTCTCCACACCCTGGGCACCTCTCATCACAGTCCCGTCCAGCTATGGGGGAGTTGCCCCACAGCCCAGCCCCGCAGTGACCAGACACGGGACCGCACTGCACCTGGTACACAGCAGCCTGCCTCCCGGGTGGACCCTGCGGGGAACACATCAAGTTTTGAATAAACACTGTTGTATTTAGAATAATTGACATGAGCATGAGGCTTTGAGAGATCTCTATCATGTTTCCTCACCAGAAAGAAATGCTTGTCATAGTCAGAAGGAATACAGTATGTCATGTTCTCCTCTTATTGTTCATGACTAAAAGTCAAACAAATAATGTGCTCTCCACATGCAAAGCTCAAATTTCCCCTCTACTGTAACACTGAGCAATCAGGAACAATTATTAGAGTATGTAAGTATACAGGAGTCACGCAGTAAAATAGGAAATAGTGAAATCTGTATGATTTTTAAAATTATTTTCCCAAAACCATTATTCTGATGATATTACCATTTTAATGGACAGCTTAAAATTTTTGAGTCTTATGTTTGGGCCATAAAATGATGTGTAATTTTGGAAACATTAGTAGTTGTTTTGAAATTTAAACACACAAATGCCTGGTTCCATTTAAGATGAGGACATTTTTAAAGCTGCTTTATAGCCTGAGACTGAGACTATTAATTTTCAGCTGACTGACCTAAAATTTTAAAAGCCATTAAAGCACTGTTGTTGATGGGCTTTACTCAGAGGCAACTCGAATGTGGATTAAGGGAAGAAGTAACCAGTAAGAATCTGGTGACGTTTCCCATAGGCCCACATCAGCACATGTTTCTTAAAAATAGTAGGTGTGGTTTTCACGTGCCTCTGTTTTCCCTTCATCAGGTATTTTGCAATATGGATGTGAACGGGGGAGGCTGGACTGTTATTCAGCATCGTGAAGATGGGAGTCTAGATTTCCAGAGAGGCTGGAAGGAATATAAAATGGTAAGATGGAAGAATTTACAGTGTTTTTTGATGTTTTATCTCAAGGTTATCTTCACTTTAAATGATAAATTTTGCATTTTTAGATGCATTTGAGTTATTTGATGGTGCTTACATTAAGGACCTTATTTTCATTAGACATAAAACACTCATAAATCATTTTCAGTAAATGATTTCCATGTGTGCATCAAGAGGAAAACCGTATCACTGCAATTATTTGATGAACCATTGTGTAGTGTCTGGATTTGTGCCCTGGTTGAAGGCGGGTGAGGGAGCAGGGCAGAGACCCTGCAGGGACTCATGAGCGTACAGGCCCCTCAGGACAGGCAGGAACCCCGACCCGCTCACAAGGGGGGTGAGTCAGCAGGGGTCTCACCACAGGGCCTTCTCTTGTGCTCTGTAGGCTCCTCGAGGAAGCTGACTCGGCTATTAGCCTGCGCCTGCTGCGGTCAGCTTCCCCCACACAGCAGAGGCTCCCGGCCATTTCAGTCTCATTAGCCATGGCAACGGCACCAGGGTATCTCCACTACTCATAAAAGTTCATCAGAGGTTCAGTCCAGAGTCAAGGAAGAAGGAGTGCCCCAGGGTAAAAAGACAGGGCCACCGAAGTCCCTGAAGTGGCCGCAGACCCTCATCACCACCATCATCATAGCTTGTGTCCGGTGTTTGGTGTCCATCCTGCGCTGAAGCTCTTACCTGGCCTTTAGATCAAGCCTATTAACTAATACTATCTTTATTTCAAGAGGAAACTGAGACTAGCTGCCTTCATCTGTGATCCAACCAGAATCTCATGTCAGGGCTTATCCTATGACCCACTGAACTTGCTGGGGGAAGGAGGGTACAGCAGTGGGCAAGACCTCATTGTGAGCCAATATTACTTTACACTCCCAAATACTGAATGATTCCTATTGTGATTTTGTTTGACAAATCCCTCTCTCCAAAAGCAGAAGGGCAATAAATGGTGAAGAAGGGCTAGCCAGAGTTCTTCCTTGATCTCCTTGTAGACACCAGATACTGTGGCTGGCTGGCGACATCTCAGGTGTCACATTAATGCACTCACAAATGGTGCCCCCGAGCCAGCGAAGAGTTTGAAGAACTCCAAGGAGCTCTCTGTGTCACTCTGCTTGCTGCATCTTTATGAGATGTTTAAATGCCCTGAATTCAGGTGAACAGTTTGGAATTAGACACAGCTGGAGCCTTGAAGTCTTTAACGAGCCACAAACTCATGTCAGGAAGGTAGGCTGAGGCCAACAAGATAGAATTCCACAGAGAAAATTGTAAAATCTTACACTAGATCAAGAATATGAAAAAATTAAGAATACAGGATAAAGGAGATAAAATGACATAAGAATTCAGTATTTGAAAAATGGAGAGATTGATTTGGCTATAAGTTCATTTTGTGTTATTGGCCAGTAAGAACAAAAAAGTCTACATTAATGTAGACTTTAGGTCATAAAAATGCAAAACTTTTTGATATCTACCGTGATCTGATTACATTAAAATACGCTTCCCCTTTTGGAGGATTCAGAAAGCGGACTATTCTAGAGGTTATCAGTGAGGTGTGAGGAATGGAGAAGTCATATCTGGGGACAGAGGACAGTTGGGTCTTTTTAACCTGAGGGAAAAAGGAATGAGACAGGCACCTCGCTGGTAGCTGTTTTGATTACCTGTGCAGAAGAGCCCAGCGCTAGAATCCGCTGCTCACACTGTGGGCCCATGACCAGCACTGTCAGCCCCGGCCCCCCATAAAAGCACTGGTCCCTTTGATTCAGTCTGCACAGTAATCCTGCATGACTGGAAGCTCAGTGATCACACAGGGATCCCCGAGAGGCACAGTTTCACTAAGTATGAACAAAATCCTCTAACTTTAAGTCTTTCTAACAAAGAGAACTTCCTGTTATGTGGCAAGCCCTCTCCCTCTTGGGTGTAAAGTACCCAGCATAAGGTGGCACCTTATGTTTCAGAATAGGAGGGAAGAATTGGATTTTAGGTCGGATTCTAAGACTTCCTTCTGTCTACGTGAATCTATAGATGTATTGGGGGAAATTGCTTACGTTTCAGAGGAGGACCTTGAATTACACCTTTGTTTAGAGGTCCACTCTTTACCCTGCCATTTTTCAGTGGATTGACTTTTGGCAAATCACGAAACCTACACATGTGCTTTCTTTCATTCATTGAACAAGTACAAGCAATATCCACCTACACTGCAGGAGTGTTGTGGGAATTAGAAATAGCATAAGGGAAGCACTTTGGCATGCTGAATTTTCAAGAAACAGTAGTTATTATATTATTCTAAATTAAAACTATCAACATGCAAAATTTTTACTTAATTCTGCCAAAAGTACTATTTTGCAAACCACTTAATTCATGACTATTTTTACCACTAGAATGAGATGTAGAGAAGTCACCCAAGGATCAGGCCACGATATAGAGTCAGCCAAGTCTGAAATACATGATTATTAACACTGAGCGTAACAGGAAAATGAAGATGAAGTTGTCATCACTGTGATTTTCCCACACGGTGAGCTATTAGCTGTAAACATCTGCTCCCCTGGCAGGCCAGGCTCGTTCAGTCAGAAACACCGACTTGCTAAGTATGGAATCCATTCGTGTCTTTTTAAGCATTTACCGACTATATCCACTTATAAGCAATTCTTTTTTCATTACGGGAACAAGAGTGGAATTGTCCTTTAATCATAGTTTTTATGGACTTTATCCTCTTTTCTGTTTTATGTAAGAAAGACTGTCATGCTTTGTTTAGTTTTTGCAAAACTTACCCCTTCGGTGTCAGTTTGGTCAGAAAATGAGATTAGCTCCAAAATTAGCTCCAAATGCTTCTTTTCTCAATTAAAACGGTTCATCAGATGCTGTAACTTGGTTCACTTTCACTAAAGCACATGGTAAAAAGGAAACTGTTTCCTCCATGTCTGTTATTTCCCTTAAGGACAAAAAAAAAGATTCCATCAGCAGTGGCGACAGAGTGCTGATGTCAGCTCCCATCAGCCCTCCTGCTTGGGTTTTCTGCACCCTACAGCTCTTCGAGGAATCCTCAACAGAGCTTTTCCTTCTCAGTCTTCCGCAGACTGCTGCCGGGTAGACCAGCAGGCTGCGCCCTTCCTAGCCTCTGAGGTAGCAGTGAGTTTCTCCCCTGCCTTCTTCCTTCCCGCTCTCCTCCCTTCCTAATGGTTGCTATCTGTGGGCTGCCTCTTGTCCCATAACATTTCCACAAGTCTGTTAGAGATATCAACACATGAATTACAAATATGCGTTCTGGATTATCAGTATGACTTTTGAATCTCTCCCAACAGGGAAGCTTTGTGATCTACGGATTCTCAGTGTAGGCTTTAAGCCTATACAGGTCTCCGATCTGAGTTTTGTTTTCTCTTACCCTTTCTCACCAGAAGATTCGGCAAGATCTAGTTTGTATGCATATTTTCTGAGAGGGAGGCCTGGGGGTCTTTTCAGGGGGCATCTGGGGCACTGTATTAATGCCCTCCAGCCACGGAGGGTGCAGCAGTGCCCTCTCAGCGGGGCTTTTGCATGGGAGGGTCAAGGAAGCTTGCAGTTCCAAACGGTTCCCTAAGTGACTTCCCTTTATAACAGGCTGTGATTAATGCCCTGGAGCACACTTGCTTGTTTTGCAGTCATCTCCCTCAAAAAGCTTCCCTTAATGCAGTCATTTGTGGAAGCACCCTATCTTCTGGGAGTTCTTGGTTGCTGCAAAGAGATCAAGAGCACATTTTTAAATGGCATTTTAACATCTTTACCTTAATAGAACAGTTCCTAAGAAATTAAAAGATGTGAAGTGAAATATTTCTGCCAGTCTCTCATAAGTTTAATGTCTCAGGAGTTCAGCAGTTAGGGACTCACGCTGTGTATTAAAGCACCATTGAAAAACCGTAGCTCAGTATTATTAATTTTCTTTAATAATTTCTGCAAAAAAAGATGAAATTTGTAGAACCAGAGACTCTGTCTGGTTTCAATTTTATTTCTCCTATAAAAAGTCAACACTTTCTGTGAATATTATCAGACAAAACAAACAAAGTACCAGAGACAATTATTAACTTAGAAAAGCCACAACCCAAAATTGAACATTTCTGCAAATTCTGGCACAACCAAATGAATTTTGGTCTTTATCTTGAGTGCTTTTTTTAGGGTAATGTGCTTCTTAAGCCCAATTTTAAGTCAGCATTCTTTTCAGTGCAGTTTCAGTGGTTTTATTTTTCTTTTGCTACACTATGACAGGAGAAGTAAATTTGATGGGCAGCAGATCTGAATGATGGAGCCTTTGGTGTGATTTGGTTGTTGTCAATACGCATAGCGATTTCTAGGGAAGTGCATGGCAGTGTGGAATCACTCATGGAAAGGGGGGAATTCCATCGCTCCTGCCACTGTCCACTCATCTGAGCCTTTCGCTCCAGTTCAGAGTTCTGTAAGAGCTTTTCCTGTTTTCTCTGGGTGCTGCAGGAATTTGGGGTGGGATGGAGCCCTGAGGTATGTGCCGTGTGCCGTGATGTGTGAACAGTGTCGTGAGGTATGGGTTGGCCCTCCTCATGCCCCGGATGTGTGGTGCAGCCTGGAGATGGCATTTTGTGGCTGCCCTGCTTGGATCTTTCTATGGAATCAGAGTATTCCTCCCACTCCTGCCAGGACAGTTATCCAGCCCATCCCGTTTGTGTGCAGACCGAAGTGCACACTGAAGTGTGCAGACCGCCAAGCCCAGTACTTCAGCCACACCAGTACTCAGTCCACATCCCAAAGGGGAAACTGAGGCATCTCCTCTTTAAAAGCTCTGCAGCTATTTTTGATACGTGCTCTTTGTTGAGAACTGGGAAGTGTATGACTGTAAATTTTCCTCTTACGTGGACTCTAAAACTTGTAAGATGTGGAGAGAGGAGCCAAAGAGCTGGTGAGACAGGTATTGCAGCATCAAGGGCTGGGAGCGGCCAGAGGCAGCGTGTTTGCCTAGCATCACCCCAGGCTCTCAGTGTGATCCCCAACACTGAAAAAAGAAAACAGAAGACAGTCTGCTTGTATTTTACCGTTTAGCTCCCTTTGCAATCAGCTTGGTCTATTTTTTTATTTAATAATTAACTTTTCAGATTACAGTCAACATGTTTTGCATAAACTAACCTGTCCTAGCAATACATTGGTTTCTAAAAGCCTTCAATTAGTCACTGTTAATTTTCAGCAGAGACAAAGGCCCTGAATAGTTAGTGTCCTACCTTCTGCAGCACGGATAGGTAGGTCCTCCTCCCCAGCAGCTCAGGCTGCGCTCTCTGTCCTGGCGCAGCCATGGCCCAGGCTCCTCCCCAGCACAGCCTAATGAACAGGGAGAGACTTCAGAAGCCTGCAGCCGGCGACCATGCTTTTCATTCTGACTCTAAGTGTACCAATGTCCTTTTATTCACCCGTGTTTTAGTGTACAGCCATAGCCTGTGACTCTGAGTTAACGGTCCTTCCATAAAACTTTCCGTCCCCTCGCATCCAATCTCTGCTTCCACAATGCAGAGACAGACAGCAGCCCAGAGAGGGGAAAGCAACCGCAGTGCAAACCCTGGGAAATCTCCCTTCTCCCCAGCCTCTCAGAGAGCCTGCAACACGAGACAACTTTACTGATTTGCCTTTGTGGAGAAAACCTAGGTACTTAAGTGCGGCTTTGTGGAAGACACAGAGAGTGCCCTCGCCCCACAGCACTTAGCTTGCTGTCTCCCCAGCTGCCGCTCTGTGCACCGTCCCTGGCAGGCGGAGCTGCAGCTGGGTGTGAGGCCACACTCACGCCTGCTGCCACTGTAATTCATGGGCCTGATGTGTGTGAGGTTCCGCAGGAAGCAGAGGCCTCCCGGGTGCCACCATCTAAGGACTGCTGTAAGCCTCGGGAGTGCGGTTCTCCCCAGTGTGGATGGAGCCTGGAACCCTTGTTGTAAAGGAGCCAGTGCCCAGGCTGTGCTTCTTTGTGAGCATCAGTTGACTGCTGCCTCTGCAGTGCTGCGTGTGAGGGAATGGTGGAGGCACACACGGAGCTTGTCCTCGGGTGCTCCATGCAGGTAGAGCCCGGCCTGGCGCTCTCGGCCTGACCTCCAGGGGCGAGACTCAGCAGGCCACCAGACTTGGCCGTGGTCTATAGCAAGCGGTGTGCTTTCACTGCTTCCCTGAACGCTGGTGCCGAGCGCTGTGATGCTCCGTCTCCTGCCTTCTTCCTTCTCTCCCTCTTCCTTTCGTCTCTTCTTTCCTTCTTTTTCCCTTTCCTTTCCTTTCCTTTCCTTTCCTTTCCTTTCCTTTCCTTTCCTTTTCATGCTGGGTGTGTGACAGCTCCGCATCTATGTGTGAAGTTCTGCAAGCACTGCACAGCTTAACCTCTGTGTCCAGAAGGGAAACCTGCAGCCCAAGAATGAACCTAACCCTGGAGCATAGCCAAGGATTACTTTCTGAAGCAATTGTGAATATCCAAAATGGAGAACTTGTAGAGTTCTTTATTTCCCTATCTCTGATGTTTCCAGCATTGCAATCAGGCTCAAGCTTGGGGACTGCTTTTTTCCTTTTCTCGTAGAAATTATCTTGAATGCCTAAGAACCTTGCTCTCCAGAGGGAGCAGTGAGCCCCTAGGCTGAGACAGTCGGCTTCATTCCCAGCTCTTCCAACTCAGCCTCTGCCTACAGCTAAGCCTGTGCCCCAAGCTGCGAAAGCACTTACAGTCATAGATTCACGGGTCTGGGCTTACCTACCAGAAAAGAATTGAAGATACTAAGGCCACTAAAGTCAAGGGTCTGTCAGTCCAGAAAGCTACAGGAGCACAAGTGGATTTCCAAAAAGTAACAACAACAATTTTCAGTAGCATATCTGATACCACCCTGGTAGTATTCCCTGGAAAATGTTTAAGTTAAAGCTATTAATTAATATTTAGGAAATTTTTCAGAAGCTATCTTTGATTTGAGAAGTGTTTTCTGGTTGAGCCTATCAACCTGTTTCATTTAACTCAAAAACATCTCATCCATGTGAATCTGATTTATGGAAGTTTTACCATAATCACAATTAGACATTTGGCTTGATGAAGAGAAATATAGCAGGAGAGCACGGAAGTCAGTCAGTAATTGAAAATAAAGGCTGCAAACACGCAAATGAAGGTGAGACATGCCTGTCACACGCTAAGAGACACTGACACTTGTTACTCAGGCCCAGCTCCAGATGAGCACAGCTTCCCTTCCCCGGTGACCTGTCCCCTTGTCCTCCTTGCCAGGGCTTCGGGAACCCGTCCGGAGAGTACTGGCTGGGGAACGAGTTCATCTTTGCCATCACCAGCCACAGGCAGTACACGCTGAGGATCGAGCTGCTGGACTGGGAGGGCAACCGCGCCCACTCGCAGTACGACAGGTTCCACATAGGCAGTGAAAAGCAGAACTACAGGTAGGCGTGGGCTGGGGCTGGGGCCTGGCCTGGCAGCTGGTGGCCTGCGCTTGGCCCCAGCACTGAGGAGACTGAGCCAGCAGGCTCAGACTCAGGCTGCTGAGCTGCAGGCGGGCCAGCTGCCTGGGACCAGCACTGGGGCTGTTGGAGGGGTGAGGGGAGGATCCTGAAAATCACCCTTCACCAGCAGCTGGGTTCTGGGCCTGTGACAGAGGCGTGGAGAGGTGCAGGTGTCTGCAAAGCTGTCCCGAGCAGACTCCCTGCACCTGCTCCTGCACCTGCACCTGCACTGCACCTGTAGCACCTGTGGCTGCCCTGGCCCTGCTAGAAGCACTGGGCTGCCGGGGGGCACATGGCACAAGCCATTCAGGCTCGGGCCGGAGCCTTCTCCTGAGACACTTTCTAGTTATTCATTTCACTTCCTGCTTTCTCACCTTACCCTGGAGATGACAGAGGAAAACTGTGCACCCCTGAATGTCTGAATGATGGCACAAGAGGGGAGATGAAATCTACCTGAGAGGTTTCCTCTCTGAGTAAAATAAAGACCAAAACCAAACCCAAATAATGGTATCAGTATACACAACGTGTCACTGAAACATAAAAATAAACCAACACTTAATTTTAAATGTTTGATTATTATTCTTCTAAATGAGCAGCTCGTCCACTAGAAAAAACTTTTAAGTGACTCAGGATACTCTGTGAAACTCTGATTCCACGAGTCCTCAGTGTGTGACTCTTGTGTTCCCGGAGCTTGTCTGGCCATCAGTGAGGGGGTCCAGATTACAGATCTCAGGGCGAGTGAGCTTTGCCTCCAAAGAGGCCGTGAAAGCCTGTGTGGTGTCCTCAGGAATGTGGGAGAATCGTAGCTGTGCTCATCCTCCTAGTGACCCATGCAATACTTGGCACCAGTCCATGATCGGGGTGCCTCAGAGTCATAATTAGTAAGTTGGAAACACGGTGATTAACAGCTCACAATACCCAACTACTCCTCTCCTAGAAATGTGACCACCTGGGCTGACAGACCTTCCTCAGCTGCAGTGATGAAGCCAAAGCCTGTGCCTTGCGTCAGCCGGTGTGGTTACTTCCCCATAGTTCATCTGTGTCCGTTTGTTATTTGGCTTTTTAAGATAAAACATTCTTTATTTTAAATCTGCATCCTTTTCACGGCGCAGCTCGTTCTATTTTAATAGATTCTGTAAGGACTGGATCCTTGGAGGCATTATCAATTTCTCAACAAATAGTGATGTCACCACAACAGAAGATGCAAGATAGATCTGAGGACTTGATAGTCTCGGTGGGGACAGCCGGAGTGGGCTTAATGGCAACTCTACTAACCAAAGAAGAGACATTCATAACAAGTGATGGCGTGCATGAAGATGTGTTTCCAAGGAGGTCAATATTTTGAGGGTTTTATAACAAGAAAAACCACTGTCAAACGTCAGGGGTGCTCTTATGTAATGTTTGACCTGAAACTTGAGACAACAGGAAACTTGGCTCCTGTCAGACAGCTTGACAATAGGACCAGCAAACAACTAGTGGAGTCTTTTTCTAGGCTCCTGAAGAATTTGCTTTGGTTCCTTTCCAAAATGCTCCTCAGCGTGGTGTGTGTGGCTGTATGTGTGGGCGGGTGTGTGGGTGGGTGGTTGCACACCTTTGAAAAGTGGTGGGGCAGCTTGGGAAGGCATCTGGCTTGGCTGAAGGCCTGGGGTGTGGGGCGCTCCTCATTCAGGCCTCTGTGTGAGGAGGACGCACTGGCCCTCGGGGTCCCCATGGCGCCTCTCACTCTGCCCATGTCTGTGACTCTGGTCCTCACCCACCTGCTGGGAGCTAAGATCAGCGTCTGACCTGCAATCAGAAGGTAGGTCTTCCTAGGCACAGGAGTCCTGGGGTGCTGGGGTCATTTTTCTTTCTTATGAGAGTTGTGAGCCGTGAGGTTCAGATTTGTAAAGGTAGAAGGAACTTAATAATTTCATCTCCAACCTCTGGTTTAAGGGAGAGAAACAAGAGGGCCAAAAAATATGCAGTATTTTTACCCAAGGAGGGAGAAAGCTGGTGACTCCACCTTGTGTGGCATGGTCTCTGTGCAGTGAAGTTGGGGGTTCCAGACCTGCTCCTGCGGCCACCGGCGGGGATCCCTCTACAGTAACATCGATGGGAAATGAGGCCTCCCTGAGCCACAGCACCTGCTTCAGCAGCAGGGCAGAGTGGGTGACCTAGGGACCACTGCTCCCCACTCCCCCAGAAGAAATGGAACAGGAGCCTGAAGGGGAGGTCACCCCCAGCCGCTCCCGCCTGGCTCCTCCTCCTCGCCAGGGCCTGGCCCACATGCAGCCTCTGCCTGGAGGTGTTTCCCGCGTCCTTGTCCCCTGCCTCCCAACTCAGGTGCACACACTCCGGATGCGAATAGTAAGTCCTGTACACAGGCACCCGCTCAAGGATCGAGCCACACCCCTGCAAACAGGCTGCTAAGTGAGAATTGTACACTGTGTGTACCTTGCAATATGTAGGACAAAGGGATGGTCTAAGGGAACCCCAGCTTGATGACTTCACTTGTATTTGCATAACTCTCACATGCAGTACTGTAATGTGTACTGGAACTAGACTCCGGGTACTATTCTGCATAGTACAGTCAGCAGAAATTACGACACTGTGCGTAGCAGTAGCCAGCATAAGCCTCACCGTGCACCCGTGCCTGCACTGTGGTCCGAAGCGGGTCCCAAGTCCCAGCAGTAGGGTGTGAGTTGCGCAGCATGCCTGGGTCACAGATGCAAAGGGTCATTAATCAGGAAGGTCACTAACGAGGGATATCTGTGACAGTTTATGTTTAATGAAATTATTTTACATGTTAAGCAGTTAGTACTCCCATTGTCTTTTTGTGGTAGATATTATTACACACACTTTAAAAACAGGGAACTGATACTGGGCTTTCACATTCTCAGTTCAACTAAATTCAGACTTGAATTCAATACCAAGGAATTCACACTGGATTTTTTGAGTTTTACAGGTTTACATTTTTCAGACATTTCTCTTTTGAATTAAATTCGGAAGATTTTTTAATGTTTTCTTGTTTAAAAGATTCAATCTTAGAAACTTCTGAACATTCTTCATAATATACAAACTTAATTTTAAAATGAAGAAGAGAATAATTTTTGTGCCCTAATACACTGGCTAAAAGTTAAGTGTTGTGAACAGACAGATGAAATTACCTGTACGTGTGTGTGCACGTGTTACACACATTTAACTTTTGTCCTCTAAGGTGACTTCAAATGATCTTCTCAGAGAAGAAACAAAATCCACAGAACTGGAGGGGTCTCGGTGAGAAGCAGTAAGGATGTAAAAGTGTTGTGATCAAGACATCCACCTTGTGAAATAGCAGGCAGCCAGTGTGAATTATCACACACCTCCTGGGTGTCTCACACCCCGGAGACTCTCCACGTTCTCAAGTTTTTCTGCTAAGCTACTGCCTGGGTGACTTTCCCACCAGTCCTGCTCCGGTCTCTCACCTGGACAGGGTTCAGATATCTGCAAGTCTGCATCTGGCTCCAGGACTCTTTATGCCCTGGCCACTGCCCTCCTTTCCAGCCAGCACCCACCCCAGCCCTACCCTGTTCCTGTGACTCCATCCAGTAACTGCTTGTATTTCCCCAAACCCTTCATGCCTTTCTGGGGACTATATGCATAGACTCGACTCTGTTACTTAGACGCGTCGTAAACCACAGATTCTTTCTTGTCCCAAGGTGCCCTCCCGACACCGTTGTGGGAGATGGCTGATGGGCCACCCCATGGCCCTCCTTCAGAACTCAGCTCTCCCTGCCTCTCGGGAAGTTGGTGCTGAACAGGCTGCAGCTGGGTCCCCTCTCTAGGTGTTGCTTCGTGGCTGACTGAGTGAGGTCTTCCAGCGTCACCTCCTTCCGCAGACAGGTTGCATCCAGACATTGGCCAACTCAGGAGTGTGAACATCCACTCTCCCCAAGTCAGAACAATGCCGAAAAGCTGCTGAAGGTCTCGATTTGTACTGAGAATTAGCTGAGTTCTTCCACCACTGAGGCTGCTTGTGAGCTATGGTCACCCTGTGCTCAGTCCTGTTCCTTCCTCTTGTCCCTGACCCTCCTAAGGTGCCCCAGCTCTGTCCCCAGAGAATCCTGTCACCCTCATTCTAGGCCGAGCTGGATTCTATGCTCCCACTGATCCATAATGCTGTGGACAGCCAGCCAGTCAGTCTCCACATTCCATTATGTTCTTAGCAAGCCTGCGTTAAGTAACTGTGTGCACGTTTCTAAGGTGTGAGTGTTTATCACAGTTCAAGAGACTCACTCATCATAAGCAAGAACTGATAATTAATACTGGTGAGTGCATACTGTGCACCAGATAGCTTATTTTCACATCATAAAACAGGCATAATAAATACCATGGTCAAGGGCAGAGGCCCCACTGTGACTAGGCATTACAGTCTGAGTTTTGGTCCGCTCACCACCATGTGCCTAGACATAGTCTAACGTCAATAAAAGGAAATTTATTGTTAATTTTGTAAAGTAAATGAGCTTCTAAGCAGTTATTACAATATTCAGCATATGTTTCTTCTCACCCCACTGTTCTATTAGGTAATTTTCCTATCTGTAGACAGTGCATAACTCTCTGGTTCTCAATTTTCTGTCTATGAATTAAAGTAGTTATAAAATTCCTTGCACCTCAAAATTATTTTCTAAAATTGAATTATATATATACATATATATATCTTTTCTATTTCCATGATCTTTAAATTTTTTGATCAGCAAATTTATATATCTCTAATAAATCCTTGAGAATGTCTATCAGTTTTAGAAGTAAGTGGCATTTTCATAAAAGCTTCATTGGTCCCAAAACAGAGCTGAAAAACACTAGCCCTCACCCCAACGAACAGTACTGGAAAGTAACAGGTGAACTGTGGCTCTGAAGAGATGCTGTCGTCAGCTGGCAAAAACCGGGGAGTAAGAATCAGAGTTACAGATCTGAGAAGAAAT